ATACGTGTTCCAAAAGGCGCAAACGGTCCCGGGCCAGGTAAGGTGGCACCTGTGGGAATACCGTGCGTGAGGCCGCAGAGTGATATGATGTGTTACATACTAGATTCGTGTGGCATTGGATCGGGGTCCTGACAGCTCGGCTGATGATGAGATCATACCAGAGTCAGTCAGGGAACCCGTAGTGGAAGCGGCACCGAAACCACGGAGGTCGGGAAGATTGTGCAGAGTGCGTGATGTATTGTTGCTAGAAAGCGACGAGTCGGCCACATATGCGGAAGCGATGGTGAGCCCAGATTCCAAGGCATGGCTGGAGGCCATGAGATCCGAGTTAAAGTCCATGGGTGAGAATCAAGTCTGGGACTTGGTTGATCCGCCGCCTGGATTAATAGCCATTGGTTGAAAATGGGTCTTTAAGAAGAAAACTGATGTGGATGGAAATGTTCAGATCCACAAAGCTCGGCTTGTCTCTAAGGGTTATGGACAAGTTCAAGGAATTGACTACGACGAGACTTACTCGCCGGTAGTGATGCTGAAGTCGGTGAGGACCATACTAGCTATAGTTGCATATTTGGATTACGAGATATGGCAGATGGATGTCAAGACGGCTTTCCTTCATGGAAATTTAACCGAGGACGTGTATATGATACAACCCGAGGGTTTTGTCGATCCGACTAGCGCTAGTAAGATATGCAAGCTCAAGAGATCCATTTATGGGTTGAGGCAAGCATCTTGGAGTTGGAATATTTGTTTTGATGAGGTCGTCACTGGTCTCAGTTTCATCAATAGAGAAGAGGGCGCTTGTTTATACAGGAAGTTAAGTGGGAGCTCGATAGTGTTTTTGATCTTGTATGTGGATGACATATTGTTGATCGGGAATGATGTTTCGATGCTAAACTCGATCAAGGAATCATTGAATGGCAAGTTTTCAATGAAGGACCTTGGTGAGGCAGTCAATATTTTAGGGCATTAAGATCTATAGAGATAGATAGAGGAGGTTGCTCAGCTTAAGCCAGAGCATATACATAGATAAAGTGTTGAAGCGGTTCAACATGAGAGAGGAAAATAAAGGGTTCTTGCCAATCTCACATGGTATAAGGCTAAGTGAGACTTTGAGTCCTTCGACATCTGATGAGCGAAGCAGGATGAGTAGGATTCTGTATGCCTCGGCAATCAGATCCATCATGTATGCCATGATATGTACATGGCCTGATGTTGCATTTGCAATAAGCCTAACAAGCAGATACCATGCCAACCTAGGTGAGAGTCACTGGGCAGCAGTAAAGACTATTTTGAAGTACCTGAAAAGGACTAAAGAGATGTTCCTAGTTTATGGAGGTGAGGAAGAGCTCGTCGTAAGGGGTTACGCCGATGCTAGTTTCCAAACCGACAGAGATGATTGTCGATCACAGTCCAGATTCGCGTACGTCATGAACGGAGGAGCAGTGAGCTGGATGAGTTCCAAGCAAGATACGGTGGCTGATTCTACCACCGATGTCGAATACATTGCGACTTGTGAAGCTGCAAAGGAAGGTGTTTGGATCTGGAACTTTCTGGATGATCTTGGTATTTTTCCAGCCTCGGTAAAACCGTTGGACCTTTATTGTGATAATTCTGGTGCCATCGCACAAGCCAAGGAGCCGAGGAATCACCACAAGGTCAGACACATAGATCGGGAATATCACCTGATACGAAAGATCATAAAGAATGGTGATGTAGAGTTATGCAAAATTCACACGGATGCAAATTTTGCAGATCCGTTGACTAAGCCGCTTCCAAAACCCAAGCATGAGGGGCATGTTAGAGCTATGGGCATTCGATGTCTATTTGATTGACTCTAGTGCAAGTGGGAGATTGTTGGAGATATGCCCTAGAGGCAATCATGTATGATGATATTTCCTGTGTGTTTATGAATAAAGATAGTCCTTGGACATTATCAATGATGTGTATTAGCAAGTATGTGACTTGTTTGTGGGACTATGCATTGTATGATAACTATCCTAAAAGGACCCTAGTCGAAAGGGCTGTGTGGACGCGCAGCCGACTAGACTAGCATATGACACGGTCGATGACTTGGTCTCACTAGCCATGGAGCATTGGATGCTAACCGGATAATGTGGACTCAGAAGGATCTGGTCAGATTCGACTTAGTCGAATCCGGGTCGAGTTAAGATCCGGGTCGGACAGACCCAACTATGAGACGCAGCGATATGTCATCTATGAGTCTCTAGTACAACATACGTTATATGTCCTAAGACCTGAGTTGGCGCATGTACTCGGGATGGTGACAGACCTGCTTTGGACCGACCAAACGCTACTCCGTGACTCAGTAGTTACAAAGGTAGGTTTCAGACTTGTCCAGACCCATGCTGCGAGACATGGTCGAGCAAGATGGGATTTGCCCCTCCGATCAGAAGAGATATACTCTGGGGCCCTCGTGTGATCCGACCAGGATAAGCATGGCCATGCGACAAGGATTATGAGATAATCCAGTTTGTGGTCGGTATCACTGGAACGAGAAAGAGGTCGGGCTAGCACAAGGATGACAGTCTTGCCTTGAGCCCGACAACATATATCGTGAGGCAAAGGGAACAGAAGTGTGACACGTTGTACAGGTTCACCTAACCAGCTTCATAGTTTGCTTGGTGGTTTGCACGCCTTGCTAGAGGCCGCTATCAACCGTGCAGGTCGGAGGTGATCCAAACTGTGACCAAGCCGACTTGAACCTAAGGGGCCGCGCGCTTAAGGGAAGGAACCTACGAGGTTGGTTCGGAGGACACTGGTCGGATGAGATCTGAGCTGGGCTTGGAACGCGACCGAGTAGACTTTGGGCTTTAGGATCCGTACAAGGCCCAAGTGTTGAGCCCGCAACGGATGCCTATAAATAGTGGAGGTGCGGCACACTTATTTAGTTGATGGTTTCGGCACCGTCGTTAGGGCTTTGCATGTGTTGCAACTAGCCACCTCCGCACACCGCCCTTTGTGTGATCGGACCTAGCAGTCCGCCGCACGATATTCCTCCTGCACGCGCGGATACTGTTAGAGGCGGTGCACTTACGCCGCTACGGCGAACCTGTACGAGGGATCCGACGACCGGTTGTTCATAGGAGATCGATCGAGGAGGAGACGAACCACGCGGACACGCTGTCCAACTCTTCTTCCGCTGCACAGCACTGCGCGTCTAGTGGTAACGATCTGTGATCCATTCCCGTAGCATGTTCTTGGTTGTTCTGCGCGTAGAAAAATTTTAATTTACAGTCAACGCACCCTACCATAGATCCCAACAGGCGAGTGGGGGATCTCGGGGTCGACATGAACAGAAAGGAATTACCCGCTCTCCTCAGTCGCTTGAGCGCCTGTTCCTCTCTCTCACTATCTCCTCTCTCCCTTACCAAAACAATGCCGCTCAAATGAAAAGGGAAAACCGCGCCAAAAAATTTAAAAGGATGAAAAACCAAAGAGGGGTCGGGCCGGCGCAGTGGTAAAGGGCTGGGACAGAAACCGTGCCTGACAGCGAGAACCAACCTGAAAACGAAACCTTCCAGCGCGAATCTCCACGCAAGAGCAGACGGACAAAGATTTGAATACTGGCGAATTGGAAAACAACCGACAGTAAAATAGCAAATCCATATTTATATCACCAATTCAATCATCCCTGTAACCTGACCAAAAAACTTTGGGCTTCCACAACAAACCAAAAACGTGGTACAAGCATATGTCATGGAAGCATGGCATTGCCTACATTTACGAACGGTTTGAGGGCATTTACAGCCACAACTTGCAAATTTAGATCCTCAGACGCCCGCGGACATTGACCAGACGAACCTCAAATTTTATCATTTGCAACCACAAATCCTATATCCAAACCACCTAATACATGCAAACACATGCACATCAATCATCACGTCCGTGTTGGGCCGGCGGGGCTGTCAAAAAACACCAAAAATTACACACTTAATATTTTCACATCGGCTGGTTTCGGGTGTTTAGTCTCACCTCACCGCGTGAGTAGCTAGTCGAGCGGTTTAAATAATCAAGTCATGCAGAAGCGATAAGTTTAAGTCATCATTGCATCCTTTGTTAAAAAAATGGACCGTAACTATGATTTTTTTTTGCTTAAGACAACGAAGATTCATAGTCATGGTTTATCTCCTTCACAAACGGAACACTGATGTTTCCACAACTTTTTTTTGAATCACAATGTGTCGAAAAAATTCGATGAACAAAATAAAAATCTCTATCAGTTGAGAAGCTTGCCGCCATCAGTTCAGGAACGTGCTTTGGGTGGCTGCGGGTGGGACCGATGTGACCAAGAGCGGCCTCGTATCGTCCTAACATTTAGTATCGATATGAGGGGTGTCATTCAGTCTAGACGTATAGGGACTTAGTGAGGGGTCCGATTGGATCAATTTTTTGTGACACGGTGGGTGTTGGAGATGGCCTGACAATTGGAACGCCTCGCTCGATGGTCTTGCTGAGCACGACGGGGATTCAGAGGGTCTGACCATGAAAGGAGCTAACTCACGCTTCAGAACCGATGTTGCCTCTAAAGCCTGCTCACCGGGCAGCCAATGGGCAACACGCTGACACCGATCACTTGGCAAAGTTGATGTGCAACCCCGATACATGTCGATGTCCAAAGAGCACTACCAAGCTGTGAACACTGAGCAACTTCTCCCTATCCCAATGTTGAGCTCCCGATTGAACTGCATAATCTAGCAACAGTAGACTCTAGCACAGGATTGAAGAAGAACTGATAGGAACAGCTACATATAATCTGCTTCTTTATTTATATCACCAATTCAATCATCCCTGTAACGTAACCGAAAAACTTTGGGCTCCGACAACAAACCAAAACGTGGTACAAGCGTGTGCCAATGACGCATGGCGGCATTGCCTACTTTACATCAGCCGCAGCCCATCTCTGCGTGCGCGACGAGCCGACGACAGAGGCGAGATCAGGAGGAGATCAGCCGGTGGCTCTCTGGGCGCTCCTAGCCGGCCTACTCCTCGTCCTCCTCCCTCTCCCTGGGCACGGCCCCGAACCGCTCCACCAAGAGGTCGGCGACGATGGGCACCAGGTCCTCGCACGGCACGGCCTTCTTGTACACCCCCGTGAGGTGCGAGTCACTGCCGACGCGGCCACCGACGAAGATGTCCGCCGCCTCGACGATCTTGCCGCTGCTGTTCTTGGTGAGGCAGCCCATGAAGCCGATGTCGGCCACCTGCACCTGCGCGCAGCTGTTGGGGCAGCCCGTCCAGTGCATGCGCACCGCCTTGGGCACGGACACGCGCGCCTCCACGTCGCGCGTCACCTGCAGCGCCCGCGCCTTGGTCTCGATGATGGCCTGCCCGCAGAACTGGTTGCCGGTGCACGCCACCAGCCCCTTCATCAGCAGCGACGGGTGCGCCGAGAACTTCTGCAGCAGCGGCTCCGCCAGCAGCGCCTCCACCTTATCGTTCCTGACGTTGGGGAGCACGATGTTCTGCTCCACGGTCAGGCGGAGCTCGCCGGAGCCGTACTCGTCGGCGAGGCGGGCCAGCTCGAACATGTCCGCGGCCTGCAGCCGGCCGACGGGCACGTGCAGGCCGACGAAGGAGAGCCCCTCCTGCTTCTGCGGGTGCACGCCGAGGTAGTCGCGCCGCTCCCACTTCTTGTCGATCAGGTCCTCCGCCGCCGCGCGCTCCAGCACGCCGTTCGGCATCCTCTTCTCGATCTCCGACCGGAACGCCTCCATCCCCTGCATTGCGTCGCCGGAACACCAGAAGTTCAGAACCACATACATACGCATCAACCAAGACTTATGCCGCTTCGTTTCGAGAGTTTGGGGGAAGCTTACGAGCTCGTCGATGAGCCACATCATGCGCGTCTTCTGGCGGTTGCCCCTGGTGCCGAGGTCGCGGAACGCCTCGAGGACGGCCTTGCAGACCGGGATGATGTCGTCGCCGGGCACCCAGGCGTCGAGCGGCAGGGCCTCGCCCCACCTCTTGGGGCTGATGAACCCGCCCACCAGCAGGTTGAACCCGAACTTGCCGTCCTTCTCGGCCGGCATGTACGCCAGGTCGTTGATGTGCGGGTGCTCGTACAGATCGTGGGTGCCGATCACGCACACGTTCCACTTCCTAGGACTGTTGATACACAAGATAACACGGCAGCAACGGCATGTCAGTCAGTGGCAATACTCGACCGTGGTCACCACCAATGCAGTGCAAGATGAACATGACGTACAGGTTGGTGATGGCGAGGTTGCCCTCGGAGTTATTGGTGATGTAGGAGGAGAGGAGGTTGGTGTAGGGGCGGGTGTCGACGATCTCGAGGGGGTCGATGCCGGCGAGCGGGCTGCCGACGGGGTTGCGCACGTTGTCCATGCCGCTCTGCAGGCTGGTGAGGCCGACGGAGCGGAGCCCGTCCAGGATCTCCGGCACGTCCGGCAGCGTCACGCCGCGGATCTGCCAGTTCTGCCGGGTCGTCACGTCGGCGCAGCCCTCCTTGCCGTACTTCTCGATCACGCTCGCCAGGTACCTCGTCTGCTCGCTCGTCGTCACGCCGTTGGGCAGCTTCAGACGCATCATGAACCGCCCATCTGCATGCACAAACGCTTCAGTTCATCAGCATTTTTTCCAGTCGACTTAGATCGCAGTGGGTCCCAGTCAGAAATGTCTCGCTCTTTTTGCAGGGATGGACCAAAAAGAAACAGTTTTGGAACCACTGGTTTGGGATATAAAACCCAAAAGGAATCTTTTGCAGAAAAAAAAGACATCATGTGTGCCTGATAAAAAACCATTATATTCTTATAGAATATGCTCGGTCTACTCTGTTGTTGCATTTGACAGCAAGGAACAAATTTCACTATACGCTGGCAGGGCAAATCTGTGCGTACGTGTCATGGATCAGCCAATGGAAAGTCGACTAGTATCACACACCGACTGGTTGAAGAAAACTAATATGACCCCAGACTAGTCCAAGATACTTTGGCCCCTTGGCTCTTCAGGTGTATCTTATTACAGGCCGACTAAAAAAGTTGCATCAGTGTTAGTCTAAGATACTATGAATGCGACGGTTGGATCACAGAATAGTCTGCCGGCGAGAGGGTACTTGCAAGTTGCAAATGGAGTAGGAATATGGCCATATGGGTAATACCAATTTAGTAGTAAAACTTGTGGTCAAATCACCCTAGCAATATAGTCTAATATGGTTCGATATGCATGCAGAAAAAAAATGTCAATTCTTCCCACTGATTCTGCCAAGATTATGTAGAGGTTAGGAGGAACATGGGCACATGGAGATGGAGTGATTATTGAAAATGAATGCAGCGTACGTTTATTCCCCATGAGCAAGCTAGCTTACAGGTGCATGCGGATTGAAAATTCACAAAAACTTCGAGCATGCTCCAATCATGGAGGTCGAACGTGCATCGATCAAGAATAGAAAGGCTGAAGCGCAGATGCATTATTTGATCAAGTAAATGATGGATTTCGCGATGGTGCGGAGCAGAGGGAGGGGCATACACTGCTGCTTGCGGCGGTGGAAGAGGCCGAGCCACTTGAGCCGCACGTCGACGTCCTCCTTGGTGAGCTTGTCGGCGTCGATCTGCTCCATGGGGAGCTTGGCTAGGTCCTTGATGCCGCCCTCCGTGAAGAGCGCCATGGGCTCCTTGCCCAGCTTCACCTTCTCCTGCGGGTTCAGGCTCGTGCGATACTTCTCCTTGAGCACCCAGTAGCCGCCCTCCCGCTGCTCCACCCGCGGCTCCAGCCGCTCCGCCGGGACGGCCGAGGCCGACGGCGAGGCGGCCGACGACGACGGGGCGGAGACGGCCGCGCACTGGAAGGGGCGGGCGCGGTTGGGCCGGTGCCGGGACGATGACGTCGCCGCGTGGGCCGAGGGCGGGAGGAAGCTCTGCAGGGAGGCCGAGGAAGCCATGGCCGCTGCTTGTGGTGGCGGGGGTGGTGGTGGTGGTGCCGCTGCTGCTGCGCTGTGGCGGTGATGGTGGTGGTGGTGGTGGTGGCCATGGGTGTGGTGCGTGTGGTTGTATAGCGTGGGGAGGGAGGGGGCATGCGGTGGCGTTTCTGGCCCTTGGAGAGCTCAAGAGGGCAGATGCTGCGCGGCATGGCCGTCACCGGGGCCAAATTTACCGATGTGCCCGCGCGCGCCCCGGCGGGTGCCGTTCGTCCGTTTACGTTTGCCAAGAGAGGTTTATCCCCCGAGGCGTAAAATGAGAGGTCCGGTGATGTTATGGTCTAAAGCGTCTTCATGGTTAACGATTCGAAACTGGGGCTCAGGCTGCGGTTTTGAGATTTCTACACTACGGCTAAGTCGCGCTGAATTTATTCTACATTTTGCAACGACAAAAAAGTTCATTAACCTCGCTGGCATTTAAAAAAAAAGAAATATAAGAGCAGTTAGATCACTAAAATGCTCTTATATTTCTTGGGACAGCTCCTTCAATTGGTTTTCGAGTGTGTTATTTATCTAAAGATATAAAAAAATTTCTACAAACAAAAATGAAGTATGCGGCTGAATAAATAATTGAAAGATAACCAATATTTCACGCAGCGATAAACTCATCTATTTTATAAATTGACAGTGGTTTGCTACATCCTCGTAAACGCCACCATTTGGATAGTCTGGGTTTTTTTCCTTAGAGGAGGGTGCCACCTACTTCTGTATTGCATGATGCACCCAACCATTTTGTTGCAAAGTATACATAGTCATATAAATAAAAAGGATAAAATAAATAAATGGTGTAGCCAAACTCCATGGAGATCACAAACCATGGTGTTAGACAGTCATTCAAATCGGTTAAATATAATGCGAGCTATTATCTCCAAATGGTTGCACCAATCAAAGAGTCTCATGTATCCATACTTGTAGTCAAAACCACGTGGAGATCCAATAAGTATCTACGAAGATAATCTACAACAAAATCGAAACTCGTTTGTTTGTCACAAACATGATTATTAGGACAATTTCTACATAGTGCAAGATAAAGCACGCAACCCACATGGATTTGAGTTGTAAGTTGTCTATCAATCCCCGTGAGATAGTTCACTAACTTTTTTGAAACACCGGTTGCCCGCGGTTGTTGGAAGTTACATACATATTCCGCCATAGCAATCACGTTAAAGGGCAAGATATGAACAGGGTGAATAGTTTCATCGTAATTACATAAGCAACATCTACGGTTCCGATCTTATTATGTCAAAAGCTTTCCAAATTACATTTGAAAGCTTTTCAAGTTACATTCAAATGATTTTTTATGTATTAGGATTAAGGAAGTTTTGAGTCCAGCAGGATTAAATTACGATTGGAATAACATGAAAGGTTTATAACCCAAGTGTCACGTGGGGTACATACACAAAACATTTCCATCACTTCCCCGCGGCGGCTAGAGCAGACTTACCACCTATAGGGTTTGGCATCGAGCCTATCGATGCCACCGTTGGAACATGCGGTACGCTACGCCAGCGCCAAATAAAAATTTCTATCGCACACCCAAGATCATGCTGCTGAAAATAGATCACGGGATCGGGTTTACCACTAGACCAGTCACCGTAGTGGAAGTAGAGTTGGTGATGCGTGTAGTCGATCTCCCAGGGCATCTCCTCCTCGCGTCGCCGATCTCATGCGAACAACGAAGACCCGCAAACGGTACCTTGCGGATCCCTCGAACAGTCCGTCCGAGCACCGCAAATGCGATGCCTCCAAGGTATCCACACATGTGGGGTGCAACATCGGACGGCGTACTGCTAGGTACGATTGCACGGCATGGATTTGCGGAGTTGCGACAGCGGCTGTCTAGGGTGGGAAAAGATCAACCCTAAGTGGTGCGCCCATTCCCGTTTATATACACCTCTGAGGTGGGCTCAACACTTGAGCCCACTAGGAGTCTACTTTCTTTTTCCACTCGGATCCAATCCGAATGGGCTGCAGCCCCTTAAGTGTGTGACCCTATAGGTTCACGTACACATGGACACGACCAGAGTCGATAGTTGGTAGCGGCTCTTAGCAGAACGTGCCAACTTCCATGTGTGTGTAAAGTCGTTTGACGAATCTCGACAATGTGTCATATGCAACATTCTTTTTGCCTCGCGATATATGTTGTCGAGCTCAAGGCGAGTATTTGTCACCCTTGTGGTGGCTTGGCATCTATTCTCGAAATCGTGATACAGATTTCGGAACCGGGTTAACACTTTGTTGACTGTAGCATCATGGT